GGCCTGAGTAACCCCCATGTTCCTGCTGGGCCCTTCCCACTGCAAGGAGAAAGGGCAGCCCCCCTCTATTCCACTGTCCATAAAGCAGGGACGAGCTCTTCCTCTCCCACCTGAGGATAAAGAATCCATGCTCTGTAAGCAAGGAACAAACCATACAGAAGGCAAATGCCTTGCTTGCTCTGTTCAAGCCTCCTGCTCAATCACAGCAAAGCAGGGTACTACAGCAGCTGTGTTACTGAACTCTCTCCAAGCCAGCAATCCTGCACTAGCAATATCATCATCCAGTTTCAGAGAAGCAGGTCTGAAGGACTGGGAGAGCCTGGGTTTCCATCACTATGGCAGCACTACCACTTTAGATGTCACACACAAATAGATTCTTAGAAATACAGCGAAGGGCAGGATAAATATCCCTGGGGTCCTACTGCAGACACCTGCAATCGAACCCTCTTGAACCAGAAGATGGAAGTTATGCTGCTGATCTAAATTAGTAGTTGCTCCTAGGCCAAGTCAGCCTGCAGAGTTGTGAAAACACTCTCTAAAGTCTGGGGGCGGAGGGGAGGGAGGGTTGTTAGCTGCATTATGCTGCACAGCAAGTAAACAAACATGTTTGAACTTAAGGTTTGCAGTTCAGATAAAGTCAAGGAACCTCGGAAGCTGAGACTGGAGAAGGGCCTCACCAGATTGAGGATATACAACAGTAATTCTCACAATGTTGAAATTATTACACCTCTAGTTCAACCAAAAAACAAATTTCACAGGCTACTTTCACAAGAACTATGGTATCTTAAGTCTTACAGTATCATCAAGAAGTGACAGAGCCTAAAGACAAAAATACAAAGACACTTCTGAATAACACTGCCCTGCAAGGGCTTCATGAAAAGGATTACAGAGCTCCAGCATACCTTTGAGTCGTAAGGCCCTGCACAGTTAGAAAACAAACGCAAACTAACAGTTCAATACTCTTAAATAAGAATTCCCTCTTACCAACACTGCACTAAACTGCATCTGAACTGTGCTACTCTACTCACTTAACAGAAAGGCACAGCTGAGGCGCCAATACACCCATATCTCTACGCACCACTTAGTATTTTGTTATCTAGCACAATGTAAGATAGGTCCCAGAGAAAAGGAGATAAGCATATCCTACAACACAAGACATATCTGTTTTCCTGAGCACATACTGTGAAAACACACACTTTGCTATGAAAAGAGCAATCCATCACACACCAAGATTATATTATTAGATCAACCAAAGCTGTAAGACAGCAGTAGCAGTCTCAAGCATCTGTTTGAACTTCAAACTGCTGTGAGTGCAACATGTCCTAAGCATTTGAGATAAAGACACAATGCTGCCACAGTGGAAAGCACAGAGGAAATCAATATGTCAGGGCTCTCAAAAGCAGTCTGCAACTAAAGGGAAATATATGGAAAAAAGCCCTTACAGCATCTGTTAACCCCACAGTGAGCTGGAAGAGCCTGAACATGGAAACAACCTGCGTTTTAGTACACTGCAAGGGGACAGCTTTCTGCTCCAAACAGTGAATTGCTCTATTAGTGGTGGTGCACCAAGAACCTAAGCAGCTCTAGCAACCCTCACGGAAGTTTAAGAGAGACTTTTCCAAGGTTTACAAGACAAGGAAACAGAATAGATTTAGTCTACTTCTTCTATTACGCAATGTTATAGCATACTCAAGTTCTAAACATTAGACTTCTGAAGCAGCTACTATAGCAAGTTTCTGAACGAATCAAATACATTCAAAAAAAGGTAACTGGAGTCTTTGGAGTTTTATTAGGTTTGAAATATGTAAAATCTTCACAGAAAAAAAAAAAAAAAATCTTCAATTTACAGGCATGCCCACAGGTGTTACCTCCAAGGATAAACAGAGACAAAGGAGTTAGCCAAGAACAACATAAGAGTTAAGGAATTTTTCCTACGCTTCTGTCATGAGTCACTGAGACCCAGGATTAATTATAGCCTACACTGAAAGTATCTTGAAAAAAAAAAAAAAAGGCATCACTGATTTCAGTTAGACAGTATTTCATGTCTAACAAGTTCTCACAAAGATGCTGAAGTATTCATGCAGCATCAGTAAAGCTATAAAAGACAACAGGGCCAGATGTAAACTACCAGGACACAAGTATGTTACAGGGATCTATTTAGTCAGCTTTTAAAGTTAAAAAGTCATTTTAATCTTTAACCGTGAGTGATACTGATTGTAGCGGAGTGAAGTAGATGCCAATAAAGAAAACCAAAAAGAAAAATCTATTCTGAACTTGCTCAAACATTCAGCCCATTCCCTACTTCAGCTGACTCACATTGGGACTTACTCACAAAATGCTTCCAGCATCAGAAAAAGCAGAACTCAAAACAAATGGCAACGGTTTTATACCAGGTTTTTGACAGTTTTCCAACTATGAGCGTCCCTAAAAGTGTGATCCAGGGTTCAAGAAAAAAGCTTGGAGATCCTTAAAATGGTACGTTAAATTATGCTTCGGATAGTCAGATTTAGCACTTACAAGCAAGCCCCAACAAGCTAATTTATATGTTTCTGTAAATTAACATAGCAATCTAAGTCCACAACACTTTCTTGGAGTACAATTAAAAACAAACAAAAAAATTAATTTACCTAAATCCAGCATACGGATGTGTGGTCAGGTGAGTATGCACCCACATCCCTTCTCCATCCCCAAGCCCACACCTGTTGCAAACTCCACAGCGGTGACACACCAAGGCCATGTCAAACTGCAGCCGTTTACCCCGAGAACGCCAAACCCCAGGCCCGCACACAGCCACACTTACCGTCCTCGAAAGGGGTCCCCTCGGGCCTGCAGGAGGGAAGAAGCAGAGCACAGCGTTACCCCGCGTGAAGCCCAGCTCTGAACCCCCCCACACCCCCCGCCGCCCCCGGCCGACTCACCCGAAGATTACGGCGTTCCACACCATGATGTTGTTCTCGGAGGGGGCTCCGCTCACGCCGGCCGGGGGATCCTCCTGCAGCCTGCGGGGCACGGGGAGGGCTGAGGCGCCGGCCCCTCCACCGGCCGCCCCTGCGCACTTCGCGTAACCCAGGCAGGTAGCTACACGCCCCTGCGCAAACAGCGTAACCCGCAAAGGCAGCCAGCGTCGACCGGCTCTACGCAATCAGCGGAGCGCGCCCTACCCCGCCGCCATGTTGTGCTGCCCCCCTCCTCCCCCGGTAGAACCGGGCCCTTCCGCCTCCTCCTGCCCGCCGCCCCCTCCTCCCCCTCAGCCGGCGGCCTCGGTACCTCTTGAAGTCCCGCATGAGGCGCCTACGGGCCGGAGTGGACATGGCGGGCTCAGGGTTATAGATCACTCATACACTGTCAGAGGGAGAACGGGGCGCCTAGAGACGGCGACGGCGGCAGCAGCGAGCTCCAATGGAGGCAACGGCAACGCTGACGAAGAGGAGCGATCGCGGCCTCTACCACTGAGGCGACGGAAGGGGGGAGCCCTGGATTCCACCGACTCCTGCGCCTGCTGCCGGGCGATCCCGGGATGTACCAACGGCCCAGGGAGAGGGGGCGGAGCCGGATGTGGCGGAGCCCCCAGCCTCTACCACCGCGGCGCGGGGGCGGTGCCCAAGGCAGGGGGGCTGTACCAACGGCTGCGGCGGGCGGGGGTGGAACGTGGCCTGTGGCGTCATGGAGGGAGGGGCGGTGGGGCTGGGCGGGGCTGAGCGGCTGGCCCCGCCCCCCCGGGGCGGTGGGCGGGACCGGGGGCGGGAGTGCGGCTCTCGGTACCGACAGTTTCCCGCCCCTTCAGCCGTGTCCTGGTTGAAACCACGGTGGGGTGGGGGAGGGAATCGGAAGGGTAAAAGTGAGAAAAATCATGGGTTGAGGTAAAGGCAGTTCGGTAACAAAAGCGAAAGCCGCGCGCGCAAGCAAAGCGAACCCACTCCCCGTGGGCAGGCAGGGGATCAGCCGTCCCTCGGGCCCCGCAACACGGTCTTGGGGAGAGACAAACGCCATCGATCCAAAAGTCCCCAGCTTTAGATGTTGAGCATGACGTCATATGGCGTGGGATGGCCCTGGGGTCAGTTGGGGTCAGCTGTCCCAGCTGTGCCCCCCAGCCACTCGCGGGTGGGGTGGGGTGAGAGGCAGAAAAGGCCTTGGCTCTGTGGAAGTGCTGCTCAGCAGGAATGAAAACACCCGTGTGCGATCGGCACCGTGTTCAGCACATATCCACGGCACAGCCCCCTACCAGCTACTGTAGAGAAAATTAACTCTACCCCTGCCAAAACCAGCACAACCTGCTATGCTACACTTTCTGCCTCCACAGAGAGCTTTTTCCAAGGGAAAATAGTATCTTTTCTACTTTTTTTTAGTAGCCTTTGGGAGTGAAGAATTTCTGCTGTGGCTAGACTGTATAGGCCCCAGTTTTCAGCATATCCTCACTTGTAACTTCATGTCACATAGCTGTGCGGGGACGTGGCTTCAGAAAAAGACACAGAAGACCCACTGCCTTTTGCAGAAGTCGAAAGCAAATAATAAAAATATTGCTGTCACGGCTGCACTGAAAATCTCCTGTTGTTGACCATCCCTGCTCTTCCCCAGCCTATGCAGCTCCCGGTGCCCGTTGCAGAGCCCGAGCTCAGAGCCCTTTCGGGGCACGGGCCATCCCGCTGCCAGCCGTGACGGGGCACAGGCCGAGTTGGACGCTGCTCCCGTGAAGGGGAACGGTGCCACTGCCGCCCGGTTCCTCTCGGTTTGGAGCACCTCGGAGCCCAGTCCGGCCCAGTTTGTTTGTGAAATGCTTCGAGGCCTGAATTATGGCTGTCGGCCTTTGCGTGCAACGCGCAATCGTGCCACCCGGGGCTCGGGAGCCTTTAGTCCCTCGGGTGCTCACCGACAGCCCTCCCGCTTCCCCTCCGAGGAGGAACGACCGCCTCCGCAGACCGTGCACAAAAAACCGGCGGCGGAAGCGGAGACAACCACCGACCGGCGGGCGGCCCTCGCCGAGAGCTCCGGCGGGGCGGGCGGAGCCGCGGCGACGGGGAGGCCGGGCCTGCGGGGGGGCCGGGCCCCGGCGCCGCCATGCCGAAGGTGGTGTCTCGCTCCGTCGTGTGCTCCGACACCCGCGACCGCGAGGAGTACGACGACGGGGAGAAGCCGCTTCATGTCTACTACTGCCTGTGCGGGCAGATGGTGCTGGTGCTGGGTGAGCGGGGCGGGGAGGAGCGGGCGGCGGGGGCAGGCCGCGGGCCCGGGAAGCGGCGGGGGCCCGGGAGGCGGCGGGGGCCCGGCCCGGCCCGGCCCCGTCGCCAGCCCGGTCCCGCCGCCCCGCAGACTGCCAGCTGGAGAAACTGCCGATGCGGCCGCGGGACCGCGCCCGGGTGATGGACGCCGCCAAGCACGCCCACAAGTTCTGCAACGCGGAGGAGGAGGAGAGCGTCTTCCTGCGCAGGTGGGCCGCGGCCGCGCCACGGCCTCCGCTCCCCGTTCCCCCCCGAGAGCCGCCCCCGCCGCCCGGGGAAGGGGCTGCCCGGCTCCGGCCTCGCCTCCCCGCTCGGCTGGGGCCCACCCGCCGGGCACCCGTGCCCGCTGTCTGCACGCTTCTCTCAAGCTCTCCCTCTCTTCCCCCCCAGACCAGAAGGCATAGAGCGGCAGTTCAGGAAGAAGTGTGGCAAGTGAGTGACCGCAGCGGCTCTTCAGTAACTTTAAGATAACCCTAGGAAGCCAGAATCTGGCGTTCCTCACAGCTACATATATTTCTGCTTCCAGGTGTGGGTTGCTGCTCTTCTATCAACACCAACAGAAAAACGCTCCTGTGACGTTCATTGTTGACGGTGCTGTAGTCAAGTTTGGTCAGGGTTTTGGGAAAACAAACATATATACTCAGAAACAAGAGCCTCCCAAAAAGGTAATTGGCTTTAGACAAGTAAAAAGGCTATCTCTGCTTTTCAGAAGGGTGCGGCGAGTAAAATCACTTAATGGCAGGGGCAGAGGGGAGAAGAATGAAGGAAAAGGACCTCTAAACAATAACTCACTTTGGTATTGTCTCCCTGCCTGCCTTAAGGTTTCCTTTACAGAAGTCACTGCTGCTTGGAGTCCTACCACTAAAGGAAATCAAAGTAAATTTGGAATTCTCAACTGTGCCTGATTTTAGGCTCAGTTACCAGCAAGTTTCCATTTTTAAGTAGGTGATATTGGTAGTCTGCACAGTGATTCTCAAAATCTGGCTCATTTATTATGTATCAGTGAGCTTGCTTCTGAGTTACAGCTCTAAATCCCAAAATCACTGGGGATCCACCCATGGAGTTCAGGTAATCTTAATGACTTGCATGGGAAGCCTTAAAAGCTTTGGAGAGGGAAGTGGCCCCTAGAAGCACAACTATGGCCAAGGTTTAAAAAAATAATCTGCTTCTCACCCAGGTGATGATGACCAAACGGACCAAAGACATGGGCAAGTTCAGTTCCGTCACAGTCTCCACAATTGATGAAGAGGAGGAGGAGATTGAAGCCGTGAGTTTTGTCTGCCCTTAGTGGCAAAGACATCAGTTGTCTCAGACACTGATCAGAGCCAGTGATCATCTCAGCCTTTGGATGAAGTGTTGTCACTTTGGGGTTTGCTGCTGCAAAGTGACATTGTATGTGTTTCAGAGGGAGATTGCAGACTCCTATGCACAGAATGCAAAAGTGATTGAGAAACAGCTGGAACGCAAAGGCATGAGCAAAAGAAGGCTCCAGGAGTTGGTGAGTGTTTTCTTTGGTGTTGAACACGAATCCCTGAGGTCTGTTGGCTTTGTACACAAAAGCTATCTTGCAGATCGGACTACAGGTATAGAGAGGTCCTGGTACAGTCGTAAGTGCAGCTTTGTAAGGATGACTTTTCCTTTACAGGTTTTATGGAGATACTCTAGTCCTCCTGAACTTAAAATCATATGCAATTACTTATCCAGCTAAATGACAAGCAGCCAGCAGAGCTTTTGCAGGGAGATTTTCCATGACCTCTTGGACAAGGAAAAAGGAAAGGGGAAACCAGGCCATGGCTTTGCCAGCCAGACCACCCCTAATGCTGTGCTCTCAAGCCTGCATGGCCAAGCAGGTCTTTGCCATGAGGTGCCAGGGGCAAGCCAAGGCCCCTGTGGAGGATCTGCCAGCTCAGCCGCTACCGGAAGGGCCATTTCAAGAATTAAGGGCAAGAACATCACAGCTAACCTTACCTGGTGTGACAGAAGAGTAGTTAATGGGAAGGGGGAAAAATGTGCAGCTTCCACCTGAGGATAAATGTATAAAATTGTCTTCTGTGCTGTTAGTCTTGGGATTTTTAAGATTTTAAAGGTGGTCCTCATTTTGTACATCAGAGGAGGAGGGAGTCAGCAAAGAGTTAGAGCTACTCTTGCTCCTGGTGTGAAAAGCTTGCAGTGATCAGGCAAGATGACCAAACCCCATTGGAGCACCGAAGGGAAACGTATCCAGATATTTCATTCTGTCTTTATTTTCTTATTCAGGCTGAGTTGGAAGCCAAGAAAGCCAAGATGAAAGGAACCCTGATTGATAATCAGTTTAAATAAAATGCTGCATGTCTGCTGGGTATTCAGAGACAGGAGAAAGCTATCGCAGATCTGTCGACAAAGCAGAAATAACAGACAACATTCAAGGGCAACATGCTGCAACCAGCTTGAAGGATGAGTACCCCTCTGTCATAAGTGATAGTCCGATACCAATTTTAATAACTCCAGTGGTACTGGAGACTTGGCTGAAACTGCAGTTCTCTACAAACCCAGTGTTAGGAGCAAGCTGTTCCAGCCAGAATATTTACTTCTGGGAAAAATTTTTGCTGGGTGCCTTCCTGAATTCAGTGCACCTTTAGATAGTTGTCTTTTTATCTTGGTAGTTTTCTGTAAGATCTCCATAAATGTATTGCAACAATAGGTCAACTCTACAACAGATATTTTTATGAAACTAAGCTCTGTGCCTGTTATTCATTTTGTTGTCTTGAATGTGTCCAAAATGTAAATGTGCAGCAGCCTGAGAGACATGCCCTTCCGACATGGCCTGGAATGACGTGGGAGCAAGGCTTGGGAATCATGCTGCTGCTCACACTGACCAGCAGACACACTGGCAAAGGTTGCCAGCACAGGCTGGGCTGCAGCTCTAAGTCTCAGCTCCTAGTGAACATAAGAAAGCTGCAGTCATACAGAATTACACTGTCCCAACAGCTACTGCCCAATACAAGAACATGAAATCCAACCCTGTTTTAAACTACTGAAAAATTGCCTGTGTGTTATACCACTAATGAGTACAAAAATATAACTGGAAGCTACTGACACGATTCATGATCATTTAAAGTAGAATACAACTGCCTGTGTGAACTAACCTGTTCTGCAAAACAGCATTAGTGTTCGAAGTTGTAAAATGTGAACAAGGAAAAATTGTTTTGAATGCACTGACCACTAAGAACCTGGATAAAGACAGCATTAAGAACTGGTGCGTGAATTACCTTGTTTGGGACATAACATTTTATGTCTCCTGTGTGATGTCACAACAGTGCTGTATAGCCCATGTCTTGGGATTAAATACCACGTTACGGATTTGAACTAAAATACTTCCCTAGGTTGTTCTTACTCTACCAAGTATCGTAAAATAACATGAACAATGAACAAGATGCTTGCTTCATCTCCCACAATTACTGTGGAAGACTTCCTATAATCAATAAAGGTTTTCCATCTGGCTTTATAACCCTGACTGGGAAAACTCAGGTCTGCTTAGGCTAAGATTAAGCTTCCTTTCTTTGGGAAAATAAGGTGTAATGGAGGGAATGAACTCTGCCCAAGAGCTGGCAGGCTGGGACATGTCTGTTGGTTATGTGACAATTTGATGCCAGGCTGGGTATGCACACGTTCAGGTTAACTCAAGCAGCACTGATCTTGTTCACTGCTAATCTGAAGCCTATTTTCAGAAGCCTATGTCCAGTTAAGCAAATACAAGGTGGGAAGAATAAGTGGGTATAGCTCTGGTTACGCAGACCCCTTTTCCCAGTGTGGTACCACAGTCCAGCCAGGTGAGGGCCTCAGGGTTCTTCTGGGAGCAACCCAAGTCCCAAATAACCACAGGTTGGCCTCTACAAAAATTCTGAATTTTTTTCCAAGCAGGAGTCAAAGACTTTGAAATTTGAAAACAAAGTTTGAACCAGGTGAGGTCTGCTGGGATGCAGGCTTCTTAGTCTTCAGCTGTCATAAAGGATGAAGTACAGTCCTGCTTAAAGTGATACCCAGAACAAAAGCTGACTCAGGGATAGTGTGATTTACAGTTAGGGTTAAGGTCAGGAGTGACAAAATGTGGGCTTGAGCTGACGTGGGGCTAGGACCATCTTTGCAATTTGGTGAGGCATGAAGAAAATTTGGTGAGTGCACAGCTCAGCACAAGTTGTCCAAAGTAGCAGTTACCAACTGCCATCAACTTCCTTGGTTGCACACCTTGAGCCTTGAGGCAGTGTTCACAGCACGAGCACTCCTCCTTTCTGTCATTTAGAAGACCAGCCCGTGTTCAGTCAGTGGTTTTCATTCTTGTCATTAGAGATCTGTCTACTTCAGCTCGGGACTTGCTCATGGACCCTGTCAGGAAGGGGAGTATGGTTTGTCATGCTAGCAATCCCCAAAGTACTTTTAATACACTCTAGTTATGCAGTCAGTAGCCAAAACAACTCCAACACAGAGATTCAGATCCAATACATTATTAAGTATGTAATTCACAACAACTTAAGTTGAGTTTTTAACTTCTAGATCTAAATGAATTAAAAGATGTTAGCTGACTAACAACAGGAAGCAGGAGCACCTAGTTCAAATGCTTGATTAAATGTCCTATTATAATAGATAAAACCAGCTGTTCTGCAGTTTCCCACACCCTGGTAGCAACTGGGTAATCTGCAGCAGTGTTTAGACCAAAGAAAAGTCAGATTTTGTGTTACTGTAAAAGCTAACTTTAGTTTTTATAAATCTGTAAATAAAGGTAGGTGATAATTAGTTTTTTTTTACCTGAGCCTTACTGTACAGAAGAACTTGTCCAGATGCAGAAGTATTGCAAAGCAAAGTAGTGTGTGAAGTAAAAGTGAAGGAGGGGATCTATTCCAAAAAAAATGCCACACATGGCCAGACTTACCTTAGTGTGATTCATGGCTTAGTCCAGTCCAGTTTACAAGAACCTAGTCTGAATAATCATGTCAGAATAGCTGCGTGTGTGGCAATGCTGCCTCGTTCATCATAACCTGTAAAAAAACCCCATGCAGTTTATAAACACTGAAGAGAAGCATTAATGGTGCACCCAACCTCATGGGTGCCAGTCGCAGCTGTACCCGGGGAACAATGCGGGGTCCTCCCTGCACACAGCTGGTGCCATCACAGAGCCTCCGCAGGGGCTGGATAACGTTAAGGCTTGTTCAGAAACTTGTATACAGCTTTATTGGCATTTATCTGCCTGGGCTCCAGGCAGGTTAATAGCTCCGAGGGAGCCAGGCCCTGGGAGCCCGGAAGGGATGTCTCCCGGGCTGGGCTGCAGGGTGTTTTGGGGAGCCCTGCAGAGTTGCCCGGCTTTGCAATCCTGGCCCTGTAACCCTGCACATGGCATGAGGAGGATGTTCCCACTCAGCTTGGCTGCACAGGGCAGAAAGTTGCCTTAAAGGGAGCAAGTACCGATGGTTCCCTTGCTTTGCACCTACGGCAGGTGCCTCATGCCCTGGATGTGCTGCGGGGAGCCGTGCGGGGCACTGCGCCCACCACCCCACAGCGAGGGTCTGCCCTAGCTCGGACGCTTTCAGCTCCCCAGTTCCACATGAATCCCCACGGGGCCATGGCACCGACAGCAGACTGATCAGATTAAATCAAACTAGACTCAGCTTTTGCTGGTGTTATCCTAAAGAGCCTCAAAGGTCCATGGGGTACTGCCACACCCAGGCATTTAAAAATATAAAATAAAAATTATGGGCTTGTTTAAAAGGCTCCAGGGCTGGGCTCCGAGGGTTGGGGCAGGAAGGCTTGTAGCTCTCCACTGGGGAGACCTTACAAACCTAGTGGACCACAGCATGCTGTTTTTTGGGGTGAATTTCAAGGCACAAGTGGCCAATCTCTCCTTGCTTGTCAGCCAGAAAAACACTGCCCCATCACTGCGGTCAGGTAACTCCTGTCAACCTCAGCAGGATCAGACAGCGACAACCAGCAACCCCCTGGTGAGACGACACCTACCAGAACCACCCTAATGCTGCACGTCTTGGTGTGGGTCTTGGCAGCTCCTGAGGGCTCAGTGTTCCTGAAACCGCTCCCCCCACAGCAGCTCGGTATGGCAGCAGGGCATGCAGAAACAGGGCTGTGTCCCTGCCAGCTTTAGCTCCTGCCCCGCAGCCTGACCCATGTGCTTGGGGCAACTGACAGGGACACCTCACATGGTTGGGCAGGATCGGTCCTGCAGGTGGTTTCAATACACCCACCCCACTGGGAACAACTGATTTGACCCTGCACAACACAAAGCATTGCATCTTCCCCTGCCCCTCTGCACCAGCCACTGCCGGGGGGGCAAGGGCAGATCCATCCCACAGCCCCCTGGCACCATGGCCAGCCCAGCCCGGCGGGGCTGGTATACACCGAGCCATTACAAACATCCAGCACTGCTCGCCACCTGCCCCAGCCACTAACAAGTATTTCATATGATCCTGGGCACAGCTGTGCCACGTCAACAGCTCCTAAGGCTGGGATTTATGGCTGCTGGGCAAGGGGCCGAGATGAAAGCAGCGTTACAGGCGCTTGCCCACCCCTTCCCGCCAGGAAAGGGGCCGAGATGTCGGGCCAGGCATGGCTCCCGTGGAGGAAATCATGACGTACGAGGTGTTCAGTACTCCCCACAAGAGAATTGTGTTTAAAAGGAAAATCTGCCCCTAGCCCTGCCATCCTTGGGGCAGCACAGCCTGGCAGACAGAACACTTGTGTTGGAGGGAGTGCACTCAGCTCGCTGCCTTGCCACGGGCTGGCCCCAGTCCATTTTCTGTGCCTCAGTCTACCCGCAAGAACAAAGACCTTAATCCCTCTGTAACGTGCTCCTGTGGCAGGCAAAAGCTGCAGCTGAACCCCACAACCTGCTTCCCTAGATAAAGCTGCTCCCAGGGGAGCTCTCAGGAGGGGGAGGTTAAATCCCCAGAGGGCCCCAGGCCAGAGGGGGCTGCCAGCCTGTGCTCCCCGGCTGCAGAGCGCAGGGAAAACCCATTGTGGGCTCTGCCCTGCATCTGCCATGCACCAGAGCTAAAAAAAGCTGTGAAGCACCTTCTTGGTTCCCAAGTCCCAAAGGCAGGAATTACCGTGGGTAGCTACAACCCATTTCATCCAGTGCCAGACCTGCACCCCAAGCCCAGCACAAAACATTGTAGGTCTAAGGACTTAGGGGTCCCCCAGCTCAGCTCCTCTGTAGCCTGGAACAACAGCCCAGCGCCTCAGTCACCCACCACTGCTGCCTGCTCCTCCCAGCACACTGCCCAGCATCGTGGCATCGCTCTGCATCTCACAGGGAAACGTTCAGCCCATGTTGTTTCCATAGCAGGCAGCAGGGGATCTCACACCACAGGAGCCCAGGGGCAGTTGAAAAGCACCAGCAAAGGCTCTTGGCTCAGCGGCATGGCATGAGACCATCTCCCACCATGAATGCAGACATCACAGGGACCTAAGCATGCTGACACCATCTGCAGCGAGGCGGTGCTGCACTCTCATGCCCAGCTGCCCTGCTTAGATTTCAGCAATAAAAACAACTACCGCCGTTTGCAACACAAGGCTGTGTTGACATTAGCTGCATCGGACAGTGGTTGAGATTGGTTTCAGTGATTTGAGATCAACAGCTTCGAACAGGCCTGGGCAGCCAGAATGGACCAAAGGCACGAGGGCAGTGAGGAAAGGCTCATTTATCTGAAGGGCAGAGGACCAGAAGAGCATCCACTCACCACCCCAGCTCCCTAGGCAGGAACCTGGCAGCTTCACTGGGTCTGCTCACAGACACACAGATATGTCTGGGTAAAGGCCAAGCCACGCACATTGCCCAGACTTGCAGTGTTTTCCCCAAATTACCCCAGCAGCATGAAAGAATTTCCCCCTTCCCCCAGAATTTGGGGCTGGGGCAAGCTTAATTTCTAGGGGTAAAGGATGAGCCTGGGGCTGCATCTCCCTGCCTGGCAAGCACAGCCCTGGCAAAGGAGCTGTCTGTCTCTGCTCAGCTACTACATCTCCACAGCACACCACCTGTGCAAGGGCAAGGCCAGCCAGGGGCTCTATAGAAGAGCAGCAATTACCTGCAATTGGGTTCTCTGGCTTAGTTTTAACATGCCTAGGTAGCTCAGTTTCTAAGCCACAGTATGCAATGTCAGCTCTCCTCCTCCGGAGAACAACAAGTACCCCTTAGACATTTCTCCAGCCTCCCAGGCATTCAGCACCATGGGGAGGGCTGTGATTTGCACAACCTTTAGGCACATGGCACTTTCAAAACAAAGCTTCATCAGCTCTGTGGAGCACACAGGCCAGAGGCTGGACTGGTGGCCCACAGCCAGCGGATCATCTCTGGTTACTGGGGTCTCAGGGGAGATCAGCTGGAACAGAGCTGCCAGTCCCCATTCCAGCCCACACCACTGGTCTCCACTGGGGAGGAAACACTACACAGCTTCCTCAGCAGCCTGCACTGTGTTTACCTGCCAGAGGCCACTGGTAGTTAGCAGGTAGAGAGGTGTTCAGGATGGAGGTGGTTTGTCTTCCTCCTTCTCTACAGTCACTACAGAGACCCACACCTTGCTGCGGCTGCTGCAAGAACAAACATGAGATGAGGAAAGCTGGTTTCAGATTTTTATTTCTTTGTACTCTTTCAGCAGGAGTGACTGAAATAGAAACCAAGGAGAGTCCTGTCAAGGGGGAATAACTTGGTAAAGACAGGGCAGCCAGTTGCACCTGCCTCATGCCAATCTGTATAAACATCAGCCGTCACTGTTTAGTAACTATATAGTTTTCAAACAAGTCCATGAACGGTCATAGACTACATATAACAACATGCCAGTTCACAAAAGGAAACAACTTATGTGTACTTCTTGATTTCGTCATACAGGACTAAGACAAAAGCACCACCCATTCCTCGGAGTACATTCGACCATGCACCTTTGAAAAATGCCTTGGAGCCCTCGTCCCGGGCAATCTTCCGCCAGCAGTCAATAGTGCCAGTGTACATTATGTCAGCTGCGGGAGACAGACAGCATTAGGAATCGGATACCCATGACCCCAAACATCCAGGTCAGAAACAGCCTAATGTATCTGCCAGCTTCATAACTTCAAGTGCATCCCATTTCTTAACTTTCTCCAGTATTAGCGCATCAGAGGACAAGATCACCCAGGAGATACACTGCTGCTGCATTACCTAGGAGACACTGGAAGGACCGGTTTGAGCAGAAGACAGCTACTGTTTGCTTTGACACTAACACTCCCACATCCAAAAGCTATTGCACAGCCAGCCAGGCCCTGGCTGAAACCAGGGATGTCTCTTCTTGGACCAGAGACACTAGTTTGCAACACCCTTGGGCAGTTCTGCTGTTCTTACCTACTGAAAGATACTGGAATCATTCACTCCCCCTTACAGGCATGCTGTGGAGACTGACCCATCCATGTCCCGCACCTGACATCTGCTTCTGCAACCCCTCTCACACCCTGCTGTTTACAAGAGATGAGGATATCTACATGGCTTGGTGAAAGCCAAGCCACGCTGCCTTCACCTCAGCTCCACCACCAACTGTGGACTCAGGGATGCCCAATATTTCCTACACAAGGAGGTAGCAACTTACTTCCTTTACGGCCAGACTGCATCATCATGCGACGACGAACCGTATCAAAAGGGTAGGAGGTCAAACCAGCGACAGCAGTGACGGTCTGAGCGATCATCCAGCTGACAACGATATGGGTGTTCTTTGGGTCTGGAAGCATGCCTGCGGGAGAGAGGTTTTCATGAGAACGTCAGGTGAGCCACCAGCATCTGCCGAAACGCACAACGGGCCCGCCACAGCCCAGCATCTCCCTTTCAGCACCATTTTTGTCAACCTACCCTTCGCGGTGTCGTAGATGCCGAAGTAGGCGGCTCTGTAGATGATGATGCCCTGGACAGAGACATTGAAGCCCTGGTACAGGCCCCTGAGGCCATCCGACCGGAAGATTTTGACCAGGCAGTCACCAAGCCCACTGAACTCCCTGTCAGCCCCGGCTTTACCCACATCCGCTGCCAGGCGGGTTCGGGCAAAGTCAAGGGGGTAGACGAAGCACAGGGAGGTGGCGCCGGCAGCACCCCCGGATGCCAGGTTACCGGCAAAGTACCGCCAGAACTGGGTTCGCTTGTCCACGCCGCCCAGGAAGATCTGCTTGTACTTGTCCTTGAAGGCGAAGTTGAGGGCCTGGGTGGGGAAGTACCGGATCACATTGGCCAGGTTGCCGCGCCAGAAGGAGAGGACGCCCTGCTCCCGTGGGATGCGCACCACGCAGTCGATGATGCCCTTGTACTGCTTGTCGGCGGCGATCTGC